GCTGCCCCCTCAGACCTGCTCTGCGCTGCCGTTTCAGCTCCCCCTGAAGAGCCCCACCTCTTCTGCTCCCGGAAGAGCCCCTTCCACAGTGTGTGGTGTGAGTGGAGTCCCCACAGCACCCCCTCGCCCACGACCAAGGCCCTGCTGTTGGTGAGGAAATTGTAAGTATCTTGGGCTGGGCGTTGTCTGTCTCTGTCCCATCTTTACTAGGATGGGGGTGGGGGTGGGGGTGGGGCGGCAGAGAGATTCTAAAGATGAGAGAGGGAGATGAGATCTATGTTACTGAGCTCACCCATGCCAACAACACGGGCACCCATTAGTCCATGCCATTGAGCTGATTCTGACTCAGCGACTATAACACAGGGCGAAACAGCCCCCGTGTGGGTTTCTGAGACTGTGACTACACCGGAGTAGAAAGCTTTGTTTTTCTCTCGTGGAATGACTGGTGGTTTTGAATTGCCGATCTTAGGGTTAGCGACTCCATGCTTCACCCAGTATGACACCAGGTCCCCTTTTTGCCCCATTAAGTCACTTGAACTATCAACTATAAGACCTGGACCATAGTTGACAGCCTTCTGACCTACCAGCAGAAGAAACCGAGGTTCCCAGAGGGTCATTAGCCTGTCTAAGAACAACTAGCTAGTAGGGGGTTCTGCTGGGATTCTGAGACCTCTAGTACCATTCTATGCACAGTCTAAATGTGTTGGGCATTGTCCTGAAGAAAGTGCAGTTATCAGTGTCCTGAGCTGGACCAATCGAGCTAGTTCCATTACAGAGGCCAGAGGGGGCTGTGCTGGTGGGGTGCGGTGTGGAGAGGAGACTGGTGGTGGGACAGGAAATCACAGTTACCCTGGAGGCTGCGGGTCCTGTGAAGCATTTCTGCAGAGGGGAGAGTCCTGGGAAAGGTCTAGGCAGAGAGGTGGGTGGAAGGTGCTGAGAGCAGACACACTTTCTTTTCAGTTTTGTCTGTCTCCATCCAAGACTCAAGGTCATCAGAGTATCCAATGAGAGCGGCAGCTGCCGCGGCATGGCTTGACATCCTCTGGCGGGCATCTTTACAGAGGCTCTAGGTGGCCTGGTAGTAATATTCAGGTCCTGGTCCCTATGCAGAAATATGTAAGGTCCCACCTGCTAGCCATGCAGCTGCCGTCAGGACGGTCACATGACTAGAAGTCATAACCCAGCGCCGTGGGCGCCTCAGGCCCCTGGCGCATGTTCTTCTCCAGCTAAGAAGTTCCACCGGGGCCTGACAGCTTCCCAGACCAGCCTATGGACAGCGTAGCCAGTGGACACCTCAGCTAGGACACTCGGAAAGGGAGAGAACCAGGTGTTGAGCACACACCCTCCCACGTCCCAGCCTCTGTGCTGGCAGGAGCGTCCACTTTCCACGTGGGCTGCAGATGTGTGTCTGTATCCGTGGTGGCCAGCCATGCTGAGCTCCAGAATCCTCCCAGGCCCACCGTCTCCAAAAACACAGAGAAGCCTATGCCTGGTGGGGCGCCCATCACCACCCCCACCCCCCCTCGCTGTGGCTTTGCCTGCTTGCTCATTGGTTCAACAAGCATGCGCTGCTGTGGACTAGGTGCCGTGCCAGGGGGCTTTGGGAGACACCCAGGGGAATGAAACTGGAGTGGTGGCCGCACCTGTCTATCAGCTGAGGATCCCCATGTTCTCAGGGTCGTACTAGGTGGGAGGGAAGCCGCCTGGCTGGTGCCCGAGGGAGGAGAGCAGGAGGCTTTGGTCAACTTTCCCCAGAGGCAAAGCCTTCCACAGGCTGGACGCAGACCAGGCCCAGAGTCAGAGGTTGGTGACGCACCTCAGCAGCCAGGGCTAGGGTGAGTGTGGAGGTGGGCTCATGGAGGCCTCACCCGCCACGTGCCTTGGGCATCACCCTAAGTGGGTGCCACTGAGCAGTTTCTATCTGCAACCTCGAGAGACGGTGCATCCATTTAAAACGAATTGCCGGTGGCGCATGGTCAGACCGCTGGCCTACACGCGTCACAAGTGGGTGAGATCGCAGGCCATCTGACACACCCGGGAGGCTCCAGTCACCTCGGAGCCTGCCCTGCGCTCTCCTGTGCCGGAAGTGCGCTCTCCTGCCTGCCACCCAGGCCAGTACGTGGTGCTCCTGCACTGGCATTTGCAGGCAGGCATCGGAGGGCAGGCAGGCTTTCTGTGAGTGTGCTAGTGGCCGTGAGGCTTGGCTGGGGCCCTCCTGGATTCCTGTCAGCCTTCCTTAGGCAGTGCCAAGGACACAGGACTGGCATGAGCAGGCGGTCGGCACACATCTGCCACGGAACTCTCAGGTTCACCTGTGGGTGCTGGCTGCTCACACATTTCTCAGCCATAACCACAACCCGAAGTGCTAGTTCCTGTGAACCTCCTTTCTAGTGCAGTGGTGGGGCTGGGCTTGAAGCCCAGTGTTCGACTTCACCGGTTGACTGTGAGGTCCGGACCATCCCACCCTTCTTGAAGAAGTGCAGGGACCACTATGCCAACCTTGCCCTTGTTTTATCCCCAGAGACCATCAAATTCTGACCCTAAGCTTCCAGAAGGCATGCCAGTATTCCCAGCAGCGGCGCATATTCTCCTGCCCGTTGAAGGTTCCACAGTCAGACAGCTCACTGTACGTGGTGTCCCTGTGCGTCACCAACAGCGTCGGCAGTGATGCCAGCAGGATCCAAACATTTGAGGGCTTCGGAGTCCGTAAGCGAGACTTATCTTCTCCCTTTTTTCCCTAGACCCCTCGCCCTCCAGTGGCTTTTGAAAAACGTAATAGAAGCCCTTGGGTAACGGCAAAGAGTTAAGTGCTCCATAGTTGACAGTAAGGCTGGAGCCTGGAACTCGCCCAGAGGCACCTCGTAAGACAGGCCTGGTGATCCTCCGCGGAACGCTGCTGAAAGCGCTGGAGTCCAGTTCTCGGCACACGGGACCATGAGTCTGACGGGCTCCCGGGGAACTGGAAGTCGGGTAGACTTTGTGAGGGGCGCCTAGGAGGGGGCTGGCTGCGGGGTTTGGAGACTGGCAGGTGCGGGTGGGCGTGTCCAGGTGGGCGTGGTATGCGTGGGAAGCGTGCTGGGGGCGGGGCCTGGCCGAGTCTTCAAGGGCCTCGTGCTGTCTTACCTTTCCCACAGTGCTGCCCGACCCGCCCGTCCACGTCAAGGTCACCCCCGTGGTCGGGAAGCCCCACAGGCTCATGGTCACCTGGAAGGATCCCCCCTCCTGGAACTCTACTTTCTACCGGCTGCGGTTTGAGATCCGATACCGGGTGGAGCAGTCAAAGACGTTCCTGACGGTAAGTTCCCCCATCACTCTGGACCGGAGACTGCCCCTGGATGCTCGAGGGCCGTAGAAAGGGGGTAGGAAGAAGAAGCAGGGTTCCAGGTACAAACTTCCGGTTGTGGGACCGATTTGGACTCAGTAGAAGACAGGAGACCTGCACCACTGGTCAGCAAGGCTGTGACTCCTTATGGAAGGAGGTGAACTCATGGTGCTCCCGCAGAGCGACTGGTGGGCCCAAACGGCCCACCCCTCCACCCCCAGGTTCGCAGTGCCACCCTTAACCCAACGACCTGGAATCAACCCCGTGACCTCGGGGAGCCTCAGTGGCTTCCTTTATAAGGGAGGGTTAATTTAAATGAGATGGGCGGGCTGGGGCCCAGCGGGCCGCCCCATCCCACTGAGCCTCCGAAGCAGCTCAGCCCCATCACCCACGGGACCCAGGTCACCCACGGGACCGGAAGGGGCAGGAGGTGGCCCAGGCATGCGTCTTGCCGCGCAGCCGTGTGACCGGCAGCACGCCCCGCGCCTCTGCCCGCAGATCACGGAGAAGCAGAGCCACCACACCACCATCTGCGACGCCCTGCGAGGCCAGCGGCACGTGGTCCAGGTGCGCGCCCAGGAGGAGTTCAGGCACGGCTTGTGGAGCGAGTGGAGCCCGGAGGTCGTCAGCGTTCCGTGGATAGGTACGTGGTGGCGTGGAGGGACGGGCGGGGGGCTGGGTCAGCTCTGCTACGCTGTCAGCTGACCCAGTGTGATGCAAATGTGAGGGTCCCCCTCAAAACCAGTGGCTCAAAGCAGCAACCACCGACAGGGCCCCAGATGTGAGCATAAGCACCAGGCAGTGCTTCCGCTTGTCTCGCCTGCATCTCTCAGTAGCGCAGCCGGGTTCTGGCCTGATGGCCCCCCTCACATGTCTGAGGGCTGATGCTGGCTGCTGGCCTCGCTCCAGGAGGCCACTCCACACTGGATGGGGGAGGAGTTGTAGAGCCTTTGTCGCCATGTGTAACCAGCGGTAATTACGGATGCGTTTTATCTTCACAAAGGCGCTAAGTGTCCTAATGACTGCCTTTGGGATTATGGGGATGAGCTTGCTTGTTATCGAACATGGACCATTTCAAAGAGACATGGCTCAAAAGGCAGTAAATATGATGGCTAGCATCGTCTTGAAAATAAAATGCCCTCCCCCCAACTACCAGGACCCCAATATTGCCTTGCAGACCTGGTTAGACCAGATGATGCACAGCGGTAC